AGGCTGCGGTTTCTGGGAGCGGCCACTGCACTCCAGTCTGGGCGACAGAGTGAGACTCCAACTCAAAAAAAAAAAAAAAAAGTAGGCTGCTAAAGGCACTTTTAGCTTTATCTTTTCTTTTTTTGGCTTAGGGTCTCACTCTGTTGCCCAGGCTAGAGTGCAGTGTCATGATCACAGCTCAGCGCAGCCACCAACTAGTGGACTCAAGTGATCTTCTGTGTCAGTCTCTCAAGCAGCTGGGATTATAGGCATGTGAGAACACACCAGGCTAATTTTTTAAATTTTTGTAGTGATGAGGTCTTGCTATGCTACCCAGGCTGGTTTCGAACTTCTGGCCTCAAAGCAATCCTCCCACCTCAGTTTCCCAAAGTACTGGGATTACACATGTGAACCATGCCACCCAGCAAGGTCCTTCCAGTTTTAAAGGGTTAAATGAAACTTGTAACTGCTTGTGGTGGCAGTACTGAAGAATTCCCAAGCCATCCCACTTCCTGTTCCTCCAGAGAGGTGTATTTGATCTCAACATCTTTCTTCCTGCCTTTAGATGTCATTTTAAGACCCAAGCAACTCCTCTAATATGGAGAGAACTCCGAAGCCAGAGCCAGAAGCTAAGGAGTGCATAATAACTACGAACTATGGAGGGTGTTCCCTTAACATGACAAATAGAGCCTATAGATCTGGCTTATAGGGTGCCATCTTACCACTTCAAAGCTTATGCAGAATTTGGTACCAGTTTTCAAATTAGACTCAAAAAACGATCTACAGCAGTTGACGATTTTGTGCGTTGTTTTTTTTTAAACTTTGTTACTAACACGCAGCTTCTGGAAATCTGAAAAGAAAAAAAAGGTAATTTATATATTAGTTGTTAGAATATGAAATGCACTTTGTCATGGTCTCAAGAGTTTGAATGTTGGTTAGTCTCTCTATGTAGCTCTCCTCCAGTGTTGTAAGTCATAGTAGTGAAGGGATGGTAGTATCTGAAGAACACTTCTCAGCTGCTGACACACTGGTGCGGTGTGATCAGTTACCAACCTACCATTACGAAGTCTATAGAGTTAAGTGCAGGCTCTCCCAGGTGATTTAAGTTGACAGTTAACAGATCAGGTTTAGTATTAACATTACAGGCTGAAATCTCAAGCATGGATTAATTTGCTCTTTCTTTGGTTACAGACTATACCTAGTTCTAGCCTGTTGGTCTCCCAAGGTGCTACTGATTCCACGAGTGGGAGAGAGGTTTCTTATCACCTTAGTTGAAAAACTGAAAACTCACCTTTTTATTGCTGGTGGATAGAAGCCTCAAGAAGTTATAATATTAAAGATTTTATTCTAGCCGGGCTCGGTGGCTCAGCCTGTAATCCCGCGCCTTTGGGAGGCTGAGGTGAGTGGATTGCCTGAGCCCGCGGGTTCGAGACCCGCCTGGGCAGCGAGACCTCATCTCTACAATAAATCAAAAAATCAGCCGGGTGTGGTAGCGCGCGCCTGTAATTCCGGTTACTTGGAAGGCTAAGGCGGAAGGATCGCCGGAGCCCAGCAGGCGAGGCTGCAGTGGCCGGGAGTGGCCACTTCACTCCAGTCTGGGTGACAGAGTGAGACTCCAACTCAAAAAAAAAAAAAAAGATTTCATTCTACTACAAAACATGTTCGTTTGGAAACAATGAAGTAAATCATATTCTCCTGCTTTGGGCTATAATAAAGTGACCAAAAACAAATTTGCTGAAACAGTAGAAATGCTGAAAATAAGTATTTCTCTCGCTGGTTTGCCAGATATTAGTAATTTCTACACACCAAGGGCTGGCTCCCTTTATCTATTAATCCTAACATTTTTCCTGAGATTTCTTTGGGGGCAATAATTTTTAATATAGGGTCATGTCCTTTTTAGTGTTTCTGTTTTTCAGATTTTTTTTTTCACTTGTGTGGCAATCGCTTCATGAAATTAAGTTTCTCTTAGAACTGTCCAAAGAGTAAGTGGTTGGAAAAAAAAGTCCCCAGTCATTAGTTGTGATACTTTGAATCTCAGAAGACATAACTTTTTTTTTTTTTGAGTTGGAGTCTCACTCTGCTGCCCAGGTTGGAGTGCAGTGGCACATTCACAGCCACCAGCATCGACCTGCTCTGCTGGGCTGTGGTGATCCTCTGCCTCAGTCTTCCAAGTAGCTGGAACTAGAGGCGTGCACTACCACGCCCAACTAATTTTTGATTTATTGTAGAGACAAGGTCTTGTCAAGTTGCCCGGGCTGGTCTCGAACCCACAGGCCCAGGCAATCCACTCGTCTCAGTCTCCCAAAGTGCTGAGATTACAGTCTAAGCCACTGAGCCTGTGATTTAATCCTTATTTTATTTATATATTTTTTTCATTTTTTGAATTGGAGTCTCACTCTGTTGCCCAGGCTGGAGTGCAGTGGAACGCTCATGGCCACTACAGCCTCGACCTACTGTGCTCAGGTAATCTTTCTACCTCAGCTTTCCAAGTACCTGGAACCACAGGCGTATAATTCTAGCACTTTGGGAGGTGGAGGGGAGAGGATTGCCTGAGTCCAGAGGTTTGAGACCAGCAGGGGCAACTTGGCGAGACCTCGCCGCTAGGATAAATAAAAAAATTAGATGGGCATGGTGGCAAGTGCCTGTGGTTCCAGCTACTTGGAAGGCTGAGGCGGCCATGAGCATGCCATTGCATTCCAGCCTAGGCAACGGAGTGAGACCTCAACTCAAAAAAACCCCAAACAAACCAAAAAACAAACAAAAACATCCAGGAGGTTGAGTACTCGTAGTGTGCTCATTGCACAGATGATAAAAACCATGGTTCAAATAGGGTAAGTAATTTTTGCAAGGGCACAGAGACAGATTTGGTGGGTTGACTCTAGAACCTCAGCAAGCTACACTGTCTTTTTTCTTTTTTTTATTTTGAAGATGTGGGGTAAAATTCAGGGTTCGGTATACAAATGTTGATTATGCAGGTACCCTTTATTTTTTTCTTTTTTACACTTAAAGTGAAAGAAACTTATTTCCAGAATCTCAGGTACTGACACTAATGCATTTTTTTTTTTTTTTTTTTTGAGTCGTAGTCTCATTTAGTTGCCCAGACTGGAGTGCAGTGGCACGCTCTCGGCCACCGCAGCCTCGACCTGCTGGGCTCCAGCGATCCTTCCGTCTCAGCCTTCCAAGTAGCTGGAACAACAGGCATGCGCTACCACACCCGGCTAATTTTTTTGATTTATTGTAGAAATGAAGTCTCGCCAAAGTGCCCAGGCAGGTCTTGAACCCGCAGGCTCAGGCAATTCACTCACCTGAGCCTCCCAAAGCGCGGGATTACAGGCTGAGTCACCGAGCCCGGCCACTAATGCATTTTTAAAAATTAAAAGTACACAGCGAAGGTAAATATATGGAATACAATGCTACGAATGAAAAATAAATGATTAAAACCACCACTCAATCTTGTGACCCTGCCTTGGGTCATAAAAGGGAATCTGATTATTCCTGGGGTTTCTTCTGAATTGCTATTTGACATGGCTTTAAGTAGCTAACTGTGTTTCTAGATAGCATGTCCTCCTGCCTCTATCACTACTTCTGCGAATGGGTAAGCAACATTAAGTTTCCATAGTCTGTTTCGTTAAAAAGTTAAAGGCAACTTGTCAACAAAACACCAAGAGCATTTTACTTACGTATCTATCATATTGGCCTGCATTGGAGTTGGTTATAAGAAACCAAAAAATGTCCACTTGCCTTTTCACGAAGAGAATGGGGGCTTCTTTGGGTCTACAGGACGAGGCTGGGTGAGTGCGGGCTCCGTCCGCTCAGTAGCTGCCTTCTGGGCCACACATGTCCGTCGCATCCCGTCCGTCTACAGAGGTTTCTCCGGGAAAAGAACAGATGGAAGGTTCAAGGTAAGTGAAAACGGCACTCTGAAACGCTTAGGAGTTCTGGGTTTCTAAACGCTGCATTCTGAAAGACACTGCTTCCTTTTACAACGTTGACTGAAGCATAATATGCAGTATCAACCGCAAACACGTTAGGAGCAGTGACGGCAGAGTTTTGCAACAGAAGTCACGTCAAGGAGCTCCCTCCAGAAGGTGCTGCTGGAGCGACAACAGGATCTCAGCCACCGTCCCTAAGAGGAGCTGCAGTCCCACGGAGGAAGGGCCGCCCGCAGCGGGAACTCAACGGGAATAAACGGGAAGCAGGCACCCGCACGCCCGCCAGACCCGAAGACCTCAGTCTCTTCTGGGAAGATCGGACACTCCGGACCCCTTGCATCTTCACACAGCTGGGTGTGTCTGGCCGGGCCACCTGTCGCGGTGGAGAAACGACAGAC